ATAATGGATGTTGCTATTTTCTTATTATGATTTCCTGAATTTACAATTAGCGTTACAATTGACGTGCAGCGGCAGTTACGAATGGGCTATAGACAAATTGCATGCTTGTGTACATTTATCTCCAAGTGGTAGTCTGATGCATGATAGATCCAGATGTGAATTTTGTAGAAGACTATTATGAAGATTTGATGAAGATTTTGTCAAGGATTTTAGTAGGACCTTAGTTTTTTGGTAGGTTTTAATTTTATTTTATGCTATCTTTTATTTAAATTAGGATTTCTTTAGGATTTAGTTTTTATATTTCTTTCTAATTTAGCTAGGATTTCTATTTGATTGCATATTTTAGGTTTGTTAGATTTTGATTTGATTAGGAGCTTTATTTTCTTCCAAAGGAGGATTATTAGGTTTTATCTTCTATAAACAAGACTTGAATCCTCTATGAGAAATAGACTATGATGAACAAAATGAAGAGTTCTTTAGATGTAAAATCTTTTGTCGAACATATTAATTGCTTATTGGGTGTGAAGCTCTTAGGTGTAAAGCCTATTCTTTAGTGGGATGTGAAGCCCTTGGGTGTGAACCCTATTTATCTGGATCCTCTCTTCTCTTTAGCTCTCTAGCATTCAGATCGGAGCCTCGCCGCTCCCCATTATTTGGTATAAGAATTGAAAGATCTATCTCTATCTTCTTTTTCCTCCACAAAAAACGACAAGAATAAAAAAGAAGCAGTTCATGTTGGAAATTGTGCCTCTTTAAATGCCATTACCCATTAGGATTCAAGTGTACCCGACTACTAGCTATTCTTATGCTACAGGAGTTCATAATAAGAGGGAATTATCAAGGGGTTTTGAGGCACAATATATAACAAATCTCCATATTGACTCAAAAAACCAAACGAGTTCTCAACTTTCTAAATAGTGTTTTATCAACGCCTCCTGCAAATGCGCTGTACGGTGCCTCAAGTAAGTGCAAGGAAAGCTTAAACTTGGCTATCAGTAATGGCCTTGTTAACATATTTGCCAGATTATTCTTGGTGTTAATCTTCTTCAAAACTATTTTACCATCTTGCTCTGATACTAATTTATTAGTTTCAAGTGCACAATTGAGCAGAAAATTACTTTTATTTATTATGATAGATAAAGTGCAACTCATTTGGCTAAGCACCCGGTCTTCAATTAATCAATTCAAAATCAAAGCATATCGAGGTTCGTCATCACTTTATCAGAGAAATTGCTGAGGATAGTAAAATAATCTTGAAGAAGATTGATACAAAAAATAATCTGGCAGATATGTTTACGAAGCCGTTACCGATAGCCAAATTCAAGCTTTGCTTGGACTTGTTTCGTGTCCAAGAGCGTTGAGATGTCGTATGGCGCATTTGTAGGGGCGTCGATAAAATACTATTTAGAAAGTGGAGAACTCGTTTGGGTTTTTAAGTCAAATTGAAGATTCGTTGAAAATTATGGCTCAAAACCCCTTGATAATTCCCTCTTATTATGAACTCCTGTAGCATAAGAATAGTTAGCGATCGGGTACACTTGAATCCTAATGAGTAGTGCCATTTGATGTAATTATTATTAGAAACCTATTCAACCATAGACTCTTTAAGTCCAATTCAACTCTAACTTGGATTTTGAGAAGCCCAATCTGCCCTCCAAATAGCAGCGCCTTCTCACCTGTCAGGACTTGGCCAAAGAAGACAACAACCATAAATACATGGATGGTTAGGATTAATCCAAGATCAAGGGTTTAATTGAAAGGTCTTTTTATATAAGAAAGTGATTTTTTTCTGTGATAGTCGTCATTGTATTTCATACTCCCTTTAAAAGTAGGAGTTCTTGGAAAAAATTCATTGGTCAATTTTACCCCTAATCCTTTTCAATATTGACATTCTTATCCTAATTATAATTGGTTATCAACTAAAACTATTAAATTAAAATTAAGCTCCTGAATTAAAGCTCTCTCCGTTCAAAACTAATCAATAAAAATTTGATCTAATTAGAATTGATTGACAACTAAAGAGTATAAAGAAGCTTAAACTCTCGAATTAAAGCTCCCTCCATTCAAAGCCAATTAATAAAAAATTGATCTAGTTAGAATTAGTAAACAACTAAAGAGTAGAAAGAAGCTTAGAGTACATTAGCATTATAAATATAATATGCATTGCACGTGTAAATATTAACCAATTGATTGATACCAAATTATAGAATTAATTAATTATCAACAAAAACTAATTAGTTAAAGTATTTTTTGCAGTAGTCCCTTAGACCTTTCATATTTTGAAATTAGTCTGTCAAAGCATTGAACTTATTATTAATTAACTCAATTCTTAAGTTATTTGAAATTTGTCATTCAAATCAATGGTATAATTCGCAATTTGAGGGACTAATTTTTCTCTAATTGCTTTTTGTACTCTTGATTAGAGAAGCTGATATCAAAATAACTTAAGAATTACGGATGTAATAGCTATTTCAATGATTCGATGAATTAATTTTAAAATAATAAGAATTGAGCAACCTAATAGGTCAATGTGGTTATCTTTGCAAACTTATGGAGAGGTTTTCTTAAATGATGATAGGTTTTCTTATTCTACAGTCATTAGGGATTAAGATAGAAGATTTTTTTTTACTTCATAAGAATTTTATGTCATCTGTTATTATTAGATTTGAGGCATTGAAGAAATTGATTGCTATATCCTATATGAGCCAATAATCTTTTCGAATAATGTGTAGTTTACATTGCTCATGATTTATAAGCGAATAATTTTTTCCAATAATTTGTAGCTTACATTGCTTATGATCACAAGGACACATAAAATAAAAAATGAAGGTACATAAATGTAAGTATTAAGAAAGTTCACATATAATATTACATCATCAAGTTGAGAATTAAAAGAAACACTTTTACAACCAAGTTATACTAAAGAAATAAACCGAACAAATAACCACGTGCAATGCACATGTATCTCTCCTAGTAGTAAAGAAAACAGAGAGCTTCTCTTTGAGGGTTTAGGGGTTTTTTTCCTTCAGTGATTGTGCTTTCTCTTTTCTATAGTGAATTTTCTCCGATGCTCCTACTGTGGATGTAGCCCAAATTGGGTGAATCATGTAAATCTCTGTCTTTGTGATTGCTTGTTGTTTATTCTTGTGCTTGTTCTTCGCAATTATTTTCGCTTGATTGTGCACTTATTCTGACAGTTCATAATCTTAAATCGTTATGCTAATATTATAAAAAGCTTATTATCCCTTAGCATTTTCGACGAGGACGTTGAATTTAAATAGGAGGAGCTTTGATGCAGGACAAATCCACATGTGAATCTTGTAGAAGATTTTGGTGAAGATTTGATGAAGATTTTGTTAAGGATTTTATTATGATCTTAGTTTTTTTGGTAGGTTTTAATTTTATTTTATGTAATCTTTTATCTAAGTTGGGATTTCTTTAGAATTTATATTTTATATTACTTTTTAGTTTAGTTAGGATTTTTGTTTGATTGCATATTTTAAGTTTGTTAGATTTTGATTTGATAAGGCTTTTTAGATTTTAAGAAATAGACTATGATGAATAAACGAAGAGTTTTCAAGCATGTGAATTGCTTATTGGGTGTGAAGCTCTTAGGTGTAAAGCATATTCTCTAGTGAGGTGTGAAGCCCTCAAGTGTGAAGTCTATTCTCTAGTGGGGTGTGAAACCCTTAGGTGTGAAGCCTATTCTCTAATTAGGTGTGAAGCCCTTGGGTCTGAAGCCTATTTGTTCGTGAGGTGTGAAACCCTTTGGCGTTAAACCTGTTTATCTTGATCCTCTCTTCTTTTTAGTTCTCTCGCATTCAGATCGGAGCCCTCACACTGTTCCCCGTCATAGTCTAATATAGAACAGGCAATTGAATTTCATCATTTTAAACAGTTGTTAGACTTAGCTTTAGTCAACCTTTTAAATTTTTTGGACTCGTACTTTTAGATAAGATGTGAATGTGCTAGAGATTTGATTTGGTTGGTTCTTGTTAGTCAGTTGAGATTTGAGTTATTAGACTTTTTATTGAGAAATGAGCCTCTCGTAAAAGAATTTTATGTACTTAGAATGAGGAAGATATGTTGATTTAGAATTAACGAGGAGGATGTGTTTTTTCTCTTTTTCTGAGGTTTTGTTTCCTTTTTGTTTCTTCTTCAGGGTATGATTCCCTTCAGTTACTTCATAGTGCAATTTCTTATTTATCTCTGTGAGGGCGTGACTCCTCATCTTTTACTCTTGTTTTCTTAGAAAATTTCAAATTTCTCTACTCTCCAATTGGCCCCTTGTTATAGTCAGATTTCTGGATTTCTCCCTTTGAACTAGCGACTGATGTCTTTCCTTAGATGTTAAAGTTGTGATTTTCTGCCTACCGAAGGTACTAGGCCTGATAATTAGTGCTGTCAAATGAGTTGATATTGGGAGTTAAAGCAAGTCTTCGGCCACCCTCTAAACATTACTTAAATTTGAAATTGGTGCAGGAAAAGGGAAGTAACTTTCATTTGTTGACGGGTGCTTGTTAGAGCATACATAATAATTGACATTTGGTGAATGAACCAGGCTAGATTCCTAGACATGATTGTTGACAATTTATTATTAGGTGTATCACATTCTTACCAGATCCCTGGGATATTTTAACAGGAGGCTCAATCAAAACGTATAATACAGAGAAATTTTTTATATTTTAACCTTGGCTTCTTACTATTTTAGCAGGGATAAGTATCAGATAACAAAGTAATTGATCTCATTTGCTTATTGTTTTGCTTGTAATCTTACTAACTTCCTATTTAAACAGTCTTCAGATTGCAATTATTCGTTAATGCAACATTATTCCATTACCCAGTCTGTTTTTTTTTTTGCTTGGACAAATGCTTTCATTCTTCTCCTTATGTTCTATGCCTTCTGCATATTTTATTATTATTATTATTTCTTTCTTTTCTTTATACCTCTTTTAAATTTTTTTGTTAGAATTGGGCCTAACCCTGGCTATTTCTTTTAGCTATCTTGTTGCAGCAGTCATCTTACAAAGCCTGTGGAGTCTTTGTCTAGCCTTTTTGGATATGTATGCACTTCTAGTTAAGCGTTCTTTGAGTAATTGCCAAGTCACCTGTCTGTTCGCCATTGGAGATGGGGTGAGGAAACTGGCTCATGTATAGAGTTTATCATTACTAACCCTTCAAAGAGGAAAAAACATCCTATAGAGGGCCTTCGGTTGAGGCTTTGTTGTTTCTGTTGTATAGGGCTTTTGATAGAATATTGTATAGCGAGGAAGAACAGGATGACTCTTAACATATCAATGAAATCACTATCCGTGCACATCAAGTTTCGTGATATGTCGGATGCTCCCCTCTCCTTTCTCCCTATATCGTATTCTATAGGGTGCACCCTGTAGAAGTTCCTCTGTAGTCATTGACTCTCAATTTCTTACACAGGTAACTCGTATTTTTGTTTTGTGCTGCAGATCACGTCATTTCTCACATTTGCAGCAGCCACTGCATCTGCAGGCATCACAATTCTCATCAGCAATGATCTAAGCTTGTGTAAAGTGAACCACTGTGCAAATTTTGAGACGGCAACAGCCATGGCCTTCTTCAGTTGGTTCACTGCCTCTCCATCTTTTCTCTTGAATTTATGGTCACTCTTATCTTCCAAGTGAAAGCGATTCAGCCAATCAAGAGCAGCTATTTTGTGCCATAATTTTATCCAAAGTTTTTCGTTCCCCCCACCCACCCCCAAATTCTCATTTGAAGTCAATTCCCATCGTCAGCCGTATCTCTGTCAACTCAATATTGCGCTTCTAAATGATGGTTGTATTTAATGGCATACGGCGGTTGCCTTTTTTTCTTTTTCCTTTTAATTAAATGTGTCGTGTGGCAGTCTGTTGTTCGATGGGTTTTGTATGGACGAAAGTGTTTTTCCTTTTAATGAATTTTAGTGTATATATTAATAAATTATTGTCAGTGAATTACCTTTTACTTTGTTCTGTATTTTGTACTGTGCTGAGTCATTTAGCTTTACTAGAAACTGCACAGCAAGGTGCCCAATTGTGTTCTCTTTTTTTTCTTCCTTTTTGATGCTCGAGTATTAAGATTTGATACCTTGCTTTGAGTAAAGATTGAAAGAAATTTGTGTTCTTTATTTCCCTTTAGATGCTCAAGTATTAAGATTTGATACCTTGGTTTGGGTGAAGACTGATTGAAACTTGAAAATTACTTTCCTGAGCGCCCAAGAACCTCTTTCAGGTTAAGAGAACTAGTTGGGCTAGATTAATCTGTTGTAGGTGAGTGTAAATGCCAGGGAGCAAAGTTTAACCAGGAGGTTTTTAACCTCCTGCAACAGTAACTAGTTGACTTAATCCTCTGTTTTTATGTTATATACAAAGCTTTTCTGTTCAGGTGTATATCGACATTCTTCAAATCCTTTAATCTAGCAATACAAATGTACCAATATGCAACCTCCCAAAATCCAAGTGCTTCCTATAATTTAAGGGTTTTGGCGAAGAGTATCATGAAGAACAGGAGCTTTCTCTCATTGATGCCTGGTTGCCGACTTCAACAACAAAATATACAACGGTGACAATATATCCGAGCATTTGCCATGATGACAATTTTGCACTGTTATTGCACAATATAATTATAGAAACTAGGTTCCAGATTGTCTACAATTGCAATGTTGTCGTCTAGATTCCGCTTGCTTCAGCAGGTCAATATTTTCCTGATAAAGAAATAAAATCTTTGTTAAGAAGGATATGATAATAAATAATTTTGTGGAGACAGTAGTCAACAGAATGAGATATGATAATAAATAATTTTGTGGAGACAGTAGTCAACAGAATGAGTAGGACTCATGCAGTCGACCCTAAAAACCTGGGATAAATGTTTTGTTATTGTTGGTTATATCAAGCAGCTTTTACATGGCTTGAGGTAGTGTCGAATGGTTACCTTTCTCAGCATGGTCAGTCCCCCGATAGCACTTTTTAATGCGCCCTTTACCTGTCAGCAAATTACTGTTCAGTTCCATTGCAACATGATGACAGGAATTTCAAAGAAAAAGGTGATAAAAAAATGCTATATGATAAAATAAGTTGTGGAAGCATTTCGTTTCACTTATCCTACAGACTTTTTTTTTCTTGCTTCTTTTGCAATTTTCATTACTAAATAAGCATAATTTGTCAGCAGCCTTGCATCCTACCATATTTTCACAATTCCTTGCACTGTTGAAATTTCTTGCAAAGTATGCATAAAATTAAAACAAAAACTGTAATAAGTTCTTATTTGGTAGTATGAAATAATTTATCATAACAACATCACATGTTGAGTGCATGTTCATTTGCATGGGTTTGACTTTGCGTGTGAACATATATGTATGTATGCATGCCCTTCTATCTCCAATTAGAAGCAGCAGTGAAGTTTTTTCTTATTGTATTGCAGTAAATGCATGGTAGTGGGTATGAGTATTTTATCTTTCTTCTCTATTCTCTTGTTTCGCTCTACTCTTGTGTTGACGATCATCAATCTTGAAATGTAATTAACTCCAAGATCCACTAGTTATATTAAGAAAGTTTAATTAAAAAAATGCTTGTACTATTGTAGTAATCTTGAAGGCATGACCCAAGGCTGCGAAACAAAAGATTACAGTATAACGGGGAAAAGGAGTACCAACATCCATCTCTTCATCAATTTGATCATTTGTTTTAGTAACTGATAGTACATGAATTTTTTTAATGTGGGCCTATTTTGTTTCACTGTGTACTTAGATTTCCCTATAAAGTAGTATGATCATAAGTTAACGGATTCACATGTTCCAATGGCCTGCAGCTCCTCGTTAGACTATAAAACTGAAACTCTCAACACTCCCCATAACTCCGAAGTTTTGATGTAATGGGAGATGTAAGTTGTACCAGAGCAACCAAGTTCAGAGCCCAAAGAGCATGGGTTAGACTATGTAAAATAGCGAATTATACCCTTCAACTCTCACAACTTCAGAGTGTAGTTGAAAGAACTTTAAGTGTCCTTAGAAACTCCAGATTCCATTAATAAAGAGGGGAATTCTTCATAGGGAGGTACATGGCTTACCAAGTAGTGTCACGGTTTGTGACCTCAATAGTATGAGAATTGAACAAGCATCATGATTAGTTGATTCGTAGTCAACCATGAAACCTTTATAGTTTAGAAGTCCGATGTTATGCTCTAAATAGGTAGAGAGTATCAGTTGGTCCGATCTACTGCATTAAATGTGCACAAAAGAAATAATGTCTTTGGATTAGACATAAATGTCTGAAGAGAAGGCATATTTCTCGTGCACTATTAATGCAATATATCGGAACCATTTAATAATTTTTCTCCTTGATGATAAATGCTAACATACAATAATATTTAACTTCTTATAGATGATCATGTCCTTCAATGTTTCTTCTCATGAGCAGAAAGATAATATCCAAGATTCGACGTGCACTGTTTTTCAATAAAATCTGCTCTCCTTCTCAGAGATAGTTAAGTGCCATCATATAATGCACCAATCTCAGTTATTAGGGAACAATCTCGCATTTCATTTTTAGTGAAGTTAATTACACATAATATATCGATTTAATCTCAAATGGCCTCCATCAAAAGATTTAGCAATAACATCAACAGGTATAAGGCAAAGTCTGTGTTCTCCATGAAATTTCACTTGTATTGAGAAAAATCTAAAAAATAATCAGAAAATAAATCGGAACAGACCTTTAATAACTCCTCCTGATATCGCTTACTCCTCTCCAGTTGCTCATCGAATTTCATTCTCCAATCCGCAGATTCATCCATCGCCTCCAAATTCGCTTGCTCAAATTGTCGTCTGCACCGAATCAAAAAATCCATAAAAAATACTTTTAGAGGAAAAAATGCAGGAAACACCCCGAACTTTGAGGTGATTTGTACAAAATGACCATTAATTTTGAAAATTAAAAAACTACTCCTAAATTTGGGAACTTTCACAAAAATTCTGAACTTCCTGAAAGTTTCACCTACTGATTATACCAAAGTTTAAAACTTTTGTGAAACTTCTCAAGATGTTTTATCTGATTCTTAAAGTTCCCAGTCCTTTGGTGCAAATTACCCAGAGTTCAGGGAGTTCTCTGAAATTTACCCAAAAATTGAACAGAGAAGAGGGGAGATGAAGAAACCTGAGGATTTCTCGATCGTCGGAGGTGAACGAGGAGTCAATTGACCAGAGATGGAAGTAGACGGCGACGGTCAAAAACAGGGCG